ACAGCCATCCCGAAAGGATGTGGTGACTGCGTTGCACCATTGAGAACTGTTTTCCTGGAAAAAAAAAACAGCCACAGTTCAGATGTTACATCGAGAGAAACGCACCACATGCCAAGACAAGCAGAAAAATCCCAAACCTGTCCAAACCGCTGTATGTGACCGTCTCCACCGTGTCAAAGTGGCTGTCGGACCAGTAGACCCTCTTTGTTATGATGTCCAGGGTTATCGCAGTGGGTGTGCCGAGTCTGCTTTTGATGAGCTCCGCTCGGTTGCTGCCGTCCATGAAGGCCCGTTCCAGCTTTACGTTCTCCTGGTTCACACCCATGTCTGAGAAAAACATGTAGCTGCAAACAGGAAGCAAACATTGAAGGGGGATGTTGTGCAACAACAAACACATCCAGGTGTCTCACAGATGACAAGAAAATATGCGATTTGATTGAAAGGATGTGGTTCGATTGGACTCACCCCACCGTAGGATCCAGGGCGAGGCCATGAGGAGTTTCTAAGTTTTCAGCCACCAGCGTGACTCGATTCCCTCCATCATAGTCGCACATATCAATTCGCTCCAGAGTTGCGTCCAAAACATAAAGTTTAAAGTTGATCCAATCCACTGCAAGGTTTTGGATATTTGGGACTGCAGCGGTCAGAATTTCCTTGATGTTTTCCCCGTTATAGCTGGCAGAATAAACCTAGAAAAGAGATTTAAGGAGTTGGTTTTGCAATCATTAGAAAAGGAGGAAAAGCAGACAGTGAACCAGACAGACCTTTTTTGTATTTGTATCGCTCCAGAAGACTAAATTGCTCCGAATGTTGTAGGCCACCCCAACGGCGTAACCTCTGCCCTGGGCCGGCACCAGAGTTCTGACAAAGCGCCCGTGAATATCAGCCATCATCACGTCACCCCCATTTGTAAAAATGAGCTGTGGCAGCCCACCTAAAAAAGAAATTGGAAAAGAAATTGTGAGATATGGAACATTCACCTGTGTTAAATTTATCTTTTAAAAATGTTTTTGACACACTTTTTTCCCCCAAAGATATGTAAAAGACATTTTCTTTCAAAGGCATGCCAGGAAAACCCATTTTCTATCCAAACTGAACAGTTCAGAGTAGAAACTCTACTGGCACATTGACTTGTAACATTTGCTTGGGTCAAATTGGGAAGAAACATCTTTTTGACACAAAGATCTTGCATGAAACTAAAGATGAAAAACTGTCAAAATTACCTCATGCTCATTTTTAAAGTGGCAGTATTATGTAAAATCTAATATTTTGGACTTTCATTTTCAAGTTAAACCACCTTCAAACGTTTTACAGTGTGTAGAGTGAGATCTAAACCTGATGTTTGTGTACCTGACACATTGGCTTTGCAGACGTGTCCCTGCTCCAAGAAGTATCCATCTGCACAGCTGCAGTGATGAGTCCCAGGTCGATCCTCACAGAGTTGATCACAGATCCCCCAGATCTCACAGTCATTATAGTCTGTGCAGCAGAGCAAACAGTCACGTTTTAAGCGTAAAGGGCGAACAGCAAGGATCTATAACCAGACAGCTGTGAAATTAAGGCTGTAAATTTAGCTCTTCCATGCTGACTCATAATCAACAACTAAAAAAACACACTGCAGATTTCCAGAATGTTTTTCACAGTAGTGAGGAATTCACACATGTATAAAAACAACAACATGTGACTCACCTACACAGGAGCGGCTGTCGTTAGCTACTATAAATCCATCAGGGCAGTAACATGTGCCACCCTGGGGAGAAGGGTGGCAGAGATACTCGCAACTCAAGGCAGAGCACCGGTCCAGACCTGTGAATAAACTCCAAATCATGTTTATTGGTCTTTTTACAAGCTTGTTATCATCAAGGAGGAAGGCAATAGAGAACATTATCAGAAGAGCACCAACGTGACCAGAATCATTGCTGTGATTTACTGAGAATGACAAACCAACAAAGGTTAATCTTAAACCAGGAGTGTGTGAAAGCAGATAGGAGTTATGATGACAATATGATCTTACAAAGTGATAAGCTGGGAGTTTAATACACCACGTTTAAAACCTTAGCACCTTGATTTGCAGTAAAAGCATTCTCATTTTGACCTGGATTCCTACAGTTTATAATGAATGGATAACCTTAAGAGAATAGTGTTGGGAATGAAGTCTGGAAATACTGCTTTTGGTAAAATCCTTTAGGTTTCCCCATACTAATCAACATCTGAAATATACTTAATACTTCCTTACATCCTGTTGAATTATCTTCCAAACTGTATCAGCGCTGATTTTTTCCCCCTTTTTAAAAAATCTCCATCCAAAAACTTACCACATGTTTGCTGTGCCGTGGTGTTGGTCTCATCTGTTCCTCCAGGACAATCAGGTTTGCCGTCACACACTTTACCCACTGGGATGCAAGCAATTGAGCCTGGGCAACCCCACTCACCAGGGTAACAGTCCCGAGAGTCACTATCTGAAAGCCACAGAAAAAAAATATTTAAAAAGTGTCCATTTTAGGGAAGATTTCAACAAATCTTATTAAGGCTGTTTTCACGTTTCATGCATTATTATGTGATAAGAACTAATAATACTCTCAATGTCACACCGTCTTATTGTAAAATCAGTTGTTATGCTCTAACACCCTGAGTTGTTAGATTTCAAAATGCCTACATGAGAAATTTTACATTGAATGGAGAACTATAACAGTCAAATTAACAGTTTAAATTCTAACAATACTTAAAATGGTCAATTTGACCTGTGTTATTTAATAATAACTACATATAAAACTGTTTATTTTTTGAAAACTCAAAAGAGAGGGATATTAAGGTTTTTGCACCTTAAAAACTGCATCACCTACTGTACATGCACAGCATTACTTTAAATCAGGGGTCCCCAAACTTTTTCCTGCGAGGGCCACATAGCTGTTCCTTTCTGTGGTCGGGGGACGGTATTAGTTTTTGCAGTAAAAAAAAACAAAGAAATTCTTGTCGACGGGACGACGACGACACTTTTGGATAGATTTTTACCCAGAATGCAAATGGAAAAAACCGTGAGTGAAACGGTGACTGACTATTATATATTCCATTGAGGGAAAGTAAGTTTCACATTTGCTCAAAAGCCCCCTGGTGGTTGAAGAAAAATCCACATATAAACCGGAAAATACAATATATGAAAAAAAACACTGAATGCTCTCTGGTATGAGCAGGCGGGCCGGATCCGGCATTGTTCAGGGGGCCGGATCAAATGACGTGGCGGGCCGGATCCGGCCCGCGGGCCGTAGTTTGGGGACCCCTGCTTTAAATAAATGGCACATTATATAAAACACTGTTTGGGACTTCTGAAACCTTTTTTTAAATTATAAAAACACAAAATAGGGTGATTTTACTAAGTTAAAATGTAAATTGATTTTAAAGCAAAAAAGACATTGACATAAAGTCAATAAATGCTCCACAAATCACAAAGTGTTTTATGTTTTACCGAATGTATAGTAAGCAAAATTACCAATTTCAACCATAACCACTCTTAGATTTCAAACTAGAGTAGATCAAATTGATTTCAGAATTGTTAAATTTAGTGAAAGAATGCTCTCTTCACAGAGCTTTAGGTAGAATGATAGAAAGGCCAAATGGAAGTCCACATGAATCTCACCACATCCACTTTCATCACTGAAGTCTCCACAGTCGTTGAACTTGTCACACACAAAGTTCTGAGGAATACAACGGCCACTGGAACAAGTGAACTGGTTGCCACTACAGGTTGGATATTCTGCAAGGCGGAGATGTTTAATGGGAGTCAGTAGGCAGATTGCACACTTGTTGCCACTTCTTTAGAAATGTAGGTTACCACAGTCTTGCTCATCACTGTTATCCCCACAGTCGTCCCAGTGGTCGCACACAAACGGCTGTGGCACACAGAAGCCATTCGCACACTCGAACTGGTGGATGGGACAGTGGTGAGCGGCTGAAAAATAAAACAAAAACGGTATTATAGTAAGATATTAAACCAGAATGCCACTTCATAAGCAAAAAATAAATGCTGTCAGTGTTTGTTACATATTGTAAGGGATAATTTTTGAAGAAATTCAAGAAAAATGTTAGACTTTTATACATCAGACTAATAAAATCACATTTTTAATACAGAAATGTGAGCTTAAAATATGTGTAATATCTCCTTAAAGGTTATAATTTTCAAAAGGTACTTTCATTCTGCAATCAGAGCTTCATCTAACTGCATATTGTTATTTACAATATCACATCATTAATAGCTTAAATAGTAGTTGATTAGATGACACTTTCAATATTCTATTTTTACTTTAATATTTAGACAATAATAAACATCTAAAAATCAAGATTTGTTGGTCTTACATCCACTTTAGATAATCAATTTTGACCAAACGAAATAGCTGAATCAGTACTGTATCAATACAGGCTATAACTATAACTGAATTAAATTTAACAGTTTATGAGATAAATTGGACTAAGTTCAAATATATTTTAAGCACGATAGGTTTTCTATTGATTTAGTTAGATTATTTTAATGTGCAGATATTCAATTGGTCTCAATGGTCATAAATAACCTCAAAGTAAAAAAAAAAAAATACCTAAAAGCGTTTTACTGTTATTACGTCGTTTTCTTATTATATTTTGAAATGTATGTCAGCAAAAAATAAATAGCAGACAGAAGGAGTTGGTTACCTTATTTTTACAAGAAAATAAAATTTAAAAAAAATCCTGCGTCGTTATCAACCGAAGCTAAACCAAGATGGCGCCCGTAGTTTGTTCAGGCTCCAAACAGAAAAGCTAGGTATGCATTTAAACCAAGCGTTTCTTTGGTTTAAATGCACACTTATTTGTGAAAAAAAAAAGTTTCACAGTAGTTTTTTTTTTTCAATATTAGACGTTTGAAGAGGAAAGATTGACTCGGACTTTTAAAATGCAACATTCAGGCGGGACAGCCGGCTTCCTAAAATGGTCCTCCGGCCCCGTATTCCACCCTCCAGTAGTATGAACCAAGCCAAATTCACACAGACAGGACCAAATGACTTAGTGTCTTAATTTCCCCAAACATAAGGAACCCTGATATTTTTGTCTGTTCCCTAAATATACTTTGAGGTCATGAGGCATTTAAGTGTTCACGCCTCGTTTGAAGGCTAATATATTTCCGCCATTCAATTAGTGGATTTGGGAACTTTGCTGCATGCAGCCCCCATTTTCTCTTTGCCCATTTTCTGTCTAAATACTGCAAGTAAAGAGCAGGAGTTCCACAAAAAATTAACTACTGCGGACACTTGTCTTCATTCTCAGAGCTAGCGCAGGACACAGGTACGGTGGCCCTGAAAGGCAAACCACATCCACGTTGTGGAAAGCCTAATTTCAATTCCATAAAAATGTGTTGGATGCTAATCGCAGTCTACTCACTGCAGTTGGCCTCATCAGATCCGTCTCTGCAGTCCTGAAGCCCATTGCAGTGCTGAGAGTGATTGTAACAGGCTCCGTTTGCACATGTCTTCTGGGTGCATTGAGGATAATCTGTAAAAAGGTAAAGTACTTAAGTCTATGCAAATATTAAAAATTAACTAAGTTTGAGACAACACTGGAGACCATCTGACAGCAGAAAAATCCAACTACAAGCACGGCAGGATCAGCCGCCATTAAAGACAAAAGTCTTACTGCAGTTTCTCTCATCAGAGTTGTCCACACAGTCCGTCACTCGGTCACATTTGTATTTGCTGGGGATGCACTGGCCCTCCTGGCAGGTGAACTGGTCTGGCCTGCAGGTTTGTCCGTCTGAAACAGAACTGGGTCAGAGGCTTTCTTTGCATTTGTGTTATTACAACTAGACACATACTTCAAAATCAGGTTTTCATAAAACAAAAGGATGATTTAGAGATCATTCCTCAGCTCAACTTAAACGTTATTGGAGTTATTTGCAATAACTCCAGCGTTATTTAACGCAATGATACATAGAAATATGCACACACAGCTAGTGTCTCATAAGACTTATGATAAATATAATTGCCTTATTTGTCTATGTTCTTTATGGACAGAGATATAAGCTGTGGCTTTGAGTTCACTTTATTGTAACTTCCTGTGCAATAAAAGTGAGCAGTGAGATAATGGGGCCATCTAGTGGTTTTAGTTTGCATCACTGCAAACTGTTTTTGTTTAATGTAGCAGGTTGACATGATATTACATGCAATTTCAGGCAGTTTTATTACCCATCATCACCCTGAGAAACAGGAGCACAACCTCAACTCTCTCTTTTTGAAATGAAAGATTAAACTTGTAGTCTGTACCACAGGTTCTTTGTTCATCGGATCCGTCGACGCAGTCCTCCTCCCCGTCACAGACAAATCCCAGTGAGATGCATTCACCACTTGTCACACACTTAAATTCCTGCGAGCTGCATGATGGAGGTGCTGCAGCAGGGAAACAAAACAGGTGAACTGGTTTTCAGACTTTCCTCGCTGACTTATTTTGTTGCTTGTCTGTTTCTGTGCTCGTCTTCTCTGTCCTTGTAGATTGTCAGTCATCCAGGTTTTGGGAATCCCAATTGCTTAAATGGAAGGTAATTGAACTTCTTTCATAGAAAATTAAGGCCAAGAAAAGAAGTCCACGTACCTTCTATTTACACACTCGGAACGCTCTTCTGTGGTGTTAAGAAATAACCACTATTCATTCCCAGGTTGTGATAAATTTGAAATCAAATGCCGCACTTACGGCAGTTCAGCTCATCAGAGTCGTCTGTGCAGTCCTTAGTCCCATCACACCTCCAGTCTTTGTTGATGCATTGTCCATTTCTGCATTGAAACTCATTACTGGCACAACTTCCTGCAGAAGACACAAAAGCACATCACATAAAGTACAACATAAATTAGCAATGCTTCAGTGAACAAAAACGGTACAAATCACTGTGTAATATCAGGATTTATCACAAACTTTACTTTTTTCAACTGATCAGAGTATCTGGAAACGTTTAATTAGCCAAATGTAGCCTACTGAATCCGTGAGGCTTAAGTAGGGAGTGAAAACAGGAATGTTTCTTCTTAGCCTCTCTTCAAAAGGGGAAAGACAAGAGAAAATGCAATTTGAAGTCAGGCAGATGCATCCTGATCTTCATAAATCAGATAAAACTACTTGCAAAAAATGTATCTGAGAAGTTGAAAGGCTTCAAGAGTTTTAAATTAGTAGAAAATGACTCACAAAAATACCACCTTAAAAAAGTTGAACTCTGATGTTGGTTGACTTTACAATGACACAGCGAAAAATCTTGTTTTATTATTATTTTTATGACATTTTATTAAAATTCTTTAAGTCAGAGTCACTTTAGTTCGAATAAAAATGTATTTTATTGTTTCTTTTACAAATGAATTACCATGTTTATGGCTGCGTGCAGCATCTGAACCTGAAAGCATGTGATCCGGCCTTAAAAGAAAAGTTAATTCTTCACCACAAAAGACAAGTCCAACTCGTGATCTTTTTTACGCTTTGCTGTCAATTTCAAATCTGTTATTACTGTGACATTTGCAGAATGATATTTTATCTTGTGTTCGTGGTTTTTGTATCACGTCAGGATGTATGCCCACATTCATATTTCTAAGATTACATAAATATTCTGTGGATAAAGGTTGGCAGGGAGAGAATCAACATGGACAAATAGAGAATTAAAACAGCTTTATATAACTCTAAATCAGAGAGAGGGCTTCAAATCTAAACATTTGGAACTTTTTGATTGACAGAATTGTATTATTAGAAATTTATTGCACTTATTGGATCCTTTGACTTGGAAAGTGAGGTACATGTCGAAAATCACTTATTCATAAATAATTGTTTTGAATAGAATATATTCTGTTGAGGTTTAAAAAATGGGATACTATAAATAAGACACAGTTCCTGAGTTTATAGTTTAGTTATTAAGCTACTTCAAAAAGATTCTAGACATATTTGTATGGTAAATATTTGCGTAAATTGATTTATTTTATTGAAAATGACCAAAAGTTGAAGTTTAAACTATAACTTGAACTTTAAATGAAAAATGTACTTACCTTGAACGAGGTGAATTCCTTGGGACAGCAGTAACAGAGCCAGAAGATGAAGACCCTTTAGGGCCATTGTTAAAGGTTCAGTTTTCCTCCTGTGTTTCACTGCGAAGGTGTTAGTTCAGTCCGGTGTGTGAACTCATGCTCAGTCTGCAACCATGACTCTCTGAAGCCAAATGATCCAAAGTGTGATAATGACTCTGAGATTGAGATGTCAAACCCCGAGCAGGCAGCACATCAGTAATGTGACAACGGAGTAAAACTGGTTTTTATGGCTCGTTATACTTTGCATAAACTTCATCTAAGATTAACTTTTACCTGTCGATATGTTGTCTACGTCAGCAAAAAAGAGTAAGCACTCATTTTTTTGTAACTTTGTGACAGGAAGTTCACAGTTCAGGGAAGAGAGGATATCAAACAGATTTTAAGGATTTTCTGGAGGAACCAGTCACATTTCGAAACATTTATGTTGTTGAAGTTGTTTAAATATTTGATCAAATTAAATGTTTTCTCATCAGTTTAGCTTCATGTAGAGGTTAATGGGTCCGTTTGTTCATTTTGCAGTGATGGCTCAATGTTTACGAGAGTTTCATCATTTTTCATAATTATTTAAAACAATCCTAAATAAATCCTAAAAGTATGTAAAAAACAAAAACAAAAAACAGTTAAGCTATTAAATTATCACAAAAATGCAGAAATGTTTATTATTTGCCTCCAAAGATTTAAAGAAACACTTTCAAACAGAGTGAAAATGAAAACAAGGATTTATTAAGCTTAATATGTAATGGATGAATTACAAAATGCCTCCCAATTGTGAATTGATTGTTATATTGCACAACATTGTAGCTTCATGGAGATGTTTTATAAACCTAACCCGTCTCAACACATGACTTTTGATATAACTGTGCTTAAAATGTGAATCATTACCTAAAACACACGGTCAAACTGCATAAATGAGAAATGTGAAACAACTGCATGTGGCTAACTCAACCATGAGCCTGGTTAAGTTCGGTACCATGCTGTAGGTTTTCCCATCATTTCTGTATTTAAAATGTTTTCAGAACACAAATGTCAAGCGGAAAAGTCACGATGCACCAAAAAGTGCAAAAGTATCTAAACAAAGGCTATTCAATGATGTGAAAAAGTATTTTGAAATATCTTTCTAACATCATTACAGAGGAACATTGACCTTCTCTTCTTGGCAGAATTGCTTTAATTCAGCCACATCGGTGGATTTTCCTGCATTATTTCCTTGTTGGCAGCAAAGTCCATGTTACCATCAGTTCCAGGTTGTTCTAATTCTGAAATTCTTTGTTAGTTTTATGCCAAAGATTAGAAGATCATCAAGATGTTTTCCTGCAAATCTGAGACCTTTAGGTTTTTTAGTAAGTGGTGTTTTCACCTTGGAACTTTCTCATAAAAGCCATTTTTGTCAAGAGTCTTTCTAAATGCAGAATTGTGAATAATGACTTTAACTGAGGAAATTGTTAACTGTTTTCTAAATGTGCTTATCCAAGTTTCTTTGAAAGATAACACTGGATTTTGGCGTGATGAGTTTGCTGTCTTTGTTTTCTGAGATCAGCAGAAATATCCCTTCAGCAGCACGTCATGTTGAACAGTATCTGATTGGAAACATCATGTCAGATCCCTCCTGCGAGTCAGGAGCAAATAACAGCTGGTGTTCCACACATGCATGCACAATTATATTTTCGCGTTGTTTATGCAGATTTTCATTCTTTTCCAGGCAAGGACCAGGAAGTTCCGCCAAGATGCAACGTGCAGCAGTTTTATGTTACATTAATCCTACATTAATGGAAAATTATCATCCTTACACTCAGTAAAAACTGACAATAAGCAGCTTTTGCTGACTTCCTTTATTGGACTTTTATGGTGGGCTACCTTCTCACTAGAGCTCTTATCAGCTGGTTTATGGCTTTTCAGTAGGAACAAGAAGCAAAGTTATTTCAGTGCCTAAATGACTCAGGGGAAAAAACTAGAGACTCAACAGCATGCAGCTTCTGAGACCTGTAAATTAGAAATTCAACTCACCAAAATTTAAAACTCTAAAAACACATGAAATAAATTTATTTGTTCTTTAATAATTTATTATTAAAGTCTTTTATTTTCTGCTAAACGATATGCTGGGAGAGAAGGTGATGTTTATCCAAACAAGGATGTTTGCGCAACTTGACACTAAACTTCTTAACACTTGCTTAAGAATGAATTGTTGCCCTCCAGTGGCAGTTTTTTTTTTTAAAGGAAACTGCAAGCACTTTCAGACATAAAGCGTTTGAAAAATGATATTAGTTTATCCTGGAATTGGATTGAAAAAAAAAACATTTTAATTTTAAGCTTTATAGAAATTATTTGAAATGTTCCAAATTTGGGTTGGAATGAAGGTGGTTCAAACAAACTGAAATTATTCTTAAAAATTATAAATTTAGGATGATAATATAAGTCTCTCGCATCAAATTTCCACTCAGCCACATATTTTGTACCATCAACAAGTTTCCAAAAGTAATTCTGGCAATTCTTGGCTGAAATGATAATGTTAATTTGAATTAATTGTCTTCTATACAACAGCTTTTGGGCACACTTAATAAAGAGTTTCAGATATGTTTAGTTCAGACTGTTCAAAACGTCAATCTAAATGCTTATTTTCAGGATCTTTCATTTCCCAAACTTTTGATGTGTTTTGAGTTTTATTTTCTTGCACAACATCCAACTTTCAACTGCCTGACCTAAATTAACTGACACATCGGATCAAACAAACACACTTGGAAATGGATTATATTTAAATGTTAAGTCAGTGCCAGTAAAGCAATTAGTTTAGAATGATCTTTAGCAATTAAGCCATGAAGAGTGTTTCCAGACAGGAAAGAGTGACACACTGCCAGAAAAGTAAAGACAACACGCCTTCTTGAATTCCAGCTGTGTCTGTAATACGTTTTCTCGCCACTAGAGGGCACTCTGCACCTCATATTCTGCTCCCGTCTTAATCACCCGGCTCTACGGAAGAGGATTAGGGCCATTGGGGAAAATAAATAAATAAATAAAACAGTTCTGACTTTAATCTCAGAATTCTGACTTTAATCTCAGAATTCTGAGGTTAAAGTCAGATTTTCCCCCCCCCCATTGGCCATAATCCTCTTCCGTACGGCTCACACCCAGTGTAACAATAAAGGTTGATATGAAATTATTTTTGGACAATAATATATTAGTCTTCTGTAACAGGCAATTAATTATCAATATGAAAAGATACTAGCTTTTTATTACAGATACTTCAGGAAGACACTTTATTTTGTCAACTAATGCATTTTCTTTCATTGTTTGCTTTCTTTATTTATTCTTGAATTTTGCCATGCTTTGGATTATGCTTTATAGGTTTTATTTTTAAATGACTAAATAAATAAAGAAGCAGTGATTGTAAGCTTGTAGTTCTCTAAAATAACGGTAGGTGTCAGCAAAATGTTGGAATCCTGGGTTTAGGAGTTCAGCACGAAGTCAAATCTCACTCTGCACGCCAAAAATAGATTTTCAAAACATCAGCTTAATGAATATTTATAGATCTAGATTTTTAAATTGCTTCTGTGTTGAGAGCTGGGTGATTCATAAATATCAAGAGACACAGTGCTGAAGGAAAAACATGGCAATGACCAGAGGTATAACTAAATTCAATGTTAACACCATGTGACATTGTTAATTTAAAGCCATCTAAATAGACAAAAATGTTAAAATGTGGGAGTCTGCTCCAGTTATTGAGAGAAGCGCTGCAAGGATTACTCTTAAAAAAGGTGCCTAAACCAAAGTGGAATTTTCTTGGCTTTGTAATGAAGATTTCATAAATAATATCTGTGTAGGATAATCTAGTTTGAGTGTAAAGAGTCTGAGTTTGGCATTTTAAAACTAGAACAAATTAAGGATGTTCAAAGTAGCAAAAGATTTGGCGGAATTTCCTTTTAGCCATTTCCTGACTCAGACAACGATCAAAAGTCAACTTCATTATTTCCTATGGAGGTTAGCAAATAAATCAAGCTTATTTCCATGTTAACAGATTAAATGTGGGGAAGTTGTAAAAACAATAAACAACTGACAAGGAGTGTAACATTTCTTCCTCTTGTTTATTATTAACATCTTTCTGTGACCTATAAAGTCAAAGGCAGAGATATTCATGAGAAAAGAAGTGAAACAGCATGAAAAACAAATTTGTCCTCTTAAAGTCAAAGGTGGCCCATTTTTAATAATCATATCGCCTTTTTGGATTTGGCTGTACACCATCCTCAAAAGTCTTTGCAACTTCAAGGGAAATCAGTGAGGGATAAATATTTGCATGACAAGCTTTAGTATAAAGATATTTATTCTGCACAGAAACATTTGACACCTTTCTGCACTACTTTGGTGTGTTTAGAAAGCACTTAATTAAAATTTTCAAAAATATTGTAGAGAAATGTACCATTTAGTAAAGAGCTACTGGGCATAAAAACATGTCTGAACAATTTAAATTAATTTTTTAATATAACTTCTTTTTTTTTACATCTTTGTGTAAATCTACATGCCTCAATTACCTGCCACTTTGCTGATGTCACACCAGAACTGACCTGTGAATATTTCTATTCTACACCAACTGTTCCCATTTATATCTGGGTCTGGAAGTAGAACCATACCTTACTTTCTCCTTCACCTGCCTCAGTTATAAGTCTTTAAAAAACACAACTGTTTCTGATTTAATGTAACATTTTTTAAACCACATGAGGTCAAATTTACAAATAATAAAAACTGTATTCATTTTTTTTAAAGAAAATGTACCAAAATAGTGATAAAATGTTTACCCTGTTTTATGCATATTTTTTATTTCCATACACTTTGATATGAATATGACCCAAATGGAAAACTCTGGATTGATTTAAGATAAGTTTTTTTTTTATCTCAACAACAAACTTCCTTTTTACATATTTCATTTTTTTGATACCGTTTTGACCCATATCCTTAATCTGTGACACTTCCTGAAATATATGGCAGATACAGTTTATGATTTCATATGGGTATATCGAACCATCCCCCCAACAAAACAAACAAACCATGCTCTCTTTTTTTGGTAACCCATTTAGTGCTTAGCAACGCCCTAGGAAGAGACATTACGGTTTATAAGTTCCTCTTCAGGATTGATTTCACATTCACCTTACATTTTCAGGCTCTCAGGTGTTGTGCACACATAGTTCACACTGCTTTCAGTCTTTTTGTGGGATTTTGTCCTTCCATTTATTAATTTTTATTTTTTGCAATGGCTAAAACAATGATCATGACTGTCATCCTTTTGATTTCTGTTGGTAAGTGGCTACGTTTTTAGATATTATCTTTAACTTGTTTAAAAGTTGTTGAGTAGGAACAGATTATTTGTGTACTAGTTAGATGCAGTCTGCAAAGAATTACAAGTAAGGCAGGTGAATATTTTAACAGATTATAACTTTTAGGAAATATTTCCTTTTATAGATCTTGTAATTGAAACTAGCCCTTAGGACATAAAAGGAGCAACCATGATATATTATTTTTAAATGAGCGCCTCAAGCTGCAAGAAATTAAAAAAATCCAAACAACCTTTACTTCAAACATCAAAAGCAAATAAAAAATAGTTTTTTATTGCTTTTAGTCTGGCATTTATTGGTTTAATGCACAAGCAAGTACATTTGTTATGCGCAAGCAAGTACAGCTAATGTCTACAGAAATGCAGAAACCCAAATTAAAAGAAATACATTATACCATGTACCAAAAAATTAAAAAGGTTTACTCTTTAAAGATGACATTCATTTACTGGTGTTGTTATTTTTACCACAGCAATAGCTACAACAAATAATACAAATCCAACAACTACAAAAACTCCAAAAAAT